GAAGTCCTTCTCCTCAGGGCTGCTCTCGAGCCACTCTCCGTCCAGCCTGTGCTTGTGTTTGGGATTGCCCCAGCCCACGTGCAGGACCCTGCACTTGGCCTTGTTGGTTAAGGCTGGTCAGTAACTGCTCAGACTTTTACATCTGCTTCTCTAGTTTTCCTCTGGAGGCCGAGAAACTCGCTGGACCTCTCCCAGGCATCAGGCAGAGCAAGGAGAGAGCAGTCGTGGTCTTGTTCCTTCTCCTTCCTTGTAGGAGAAGCTGCTTTGCTCGTGGTGTCGGAGCGAAGAACTTTGGGCAGCAGAGGAAAGCCGGGCTTTCCCGTTGGCTCCGCGTCGGCTGGTTGGGTTGGGATCAAGGTGACGCTCCCAAGTAGCTCGTTGTCGAGCGGCTGGCTTCCAAAGTACCGACTGATTCCTTCTAAGCGTCCTGGTCAACGGCCGGGGCCGCGGATCCGTAGCAGGTCGTACAGCAAGAAGGTGTTCATGAGTGTCTTTAATTGCTGGTGACGAGAGAGGCTGTTTCTGGGCTGCTGAGGAAAACACTGAAATGGAAATTTCAATTTCAGCTTCCTACATCTCGTTTTTGAGCTTTTCATAGCTGTGTTAGCTCTGCAGCGCCGGTTGAAATAAGGTGCAGGCTGGGTTGCAGACCCTGAGAAGACACCACCAAGCCAGAGTTTTGCTCAAACAACAACAAAAAAAAGGTTTGCTCTGTCAAAGGCCGTGCAGAATTTTCAGTGCTGAATTTTTTGAGCTTCAAAGCTGCGCCGTGCTCCCCTTCGGAGGTGGCTGGCGTCTCCGCTTGGCCGTTGGGTGATGCTGGTAGGGACGGGCAGTCGCGGGGTTGGTGGTACCCGCGCTCTGCGTCCCCGGGTCCGGCCCGTTCGCCGTGCCGGAGGTGTAACCTGACGTGTCTTGTTTCTGCCTGATGTTTACACCTTCTTTTTTGTGTTTTCTTTTGCATGTTTTCTCTGCTGGATTGCAATAGAGAAGAAGAAAATGAGGTGAGTGAAACCGATTCCTTTCTTGGTGTAGCTCCCGAGACGCATGTTAGCCCAACCTGGTTAGTTTGAGCGCTAGATTTCCTGAGTTGAGGGAGACTGAGGGTCCAGACGAAGCAAACTGGTGTTATTCTGGTTCATACTGGGAGTTCAGTGGTTCACACCGGGAGAGAAGGGAACTGCTGTCAGCGCCGCTCCTGCCGTCTACACGCAGGGATGCGGTAGCAAAGCGCGACGCTGCCCTCGAGTTGCTCAGTGTAGGGAGCTGCTGCTGTCTGCACTCCGAGAAGATAGTT